CCAGCGCGCCGGGATGCGCCCGGGTGCCCCGTGCTCTGGGTGTCCCTGCTGGAGCAGGGGCTGCGCTGGGGGAGCCCTGGGGGTCCCTTCCAACCTCAGCCATCCTGGGATTCAGAGAAGGCAAATTACATTATGAGCCTTTCAAAAACTTGTTATCTTCTAGACCAGCCTTAATCAGGAGCAGAAACGTGATCCTTTCAGTGGTGGAAGGAGGCTGTAGCTGTAGCAGGGCAGAAGCGCAGGCTGCATTGAGGAGGTTTCTGCTGGTCTCAGCACTGCCAGGCTGCTGTGTTGTGCCCGCCTGGCAGGCACTGCTGGCCTCGGGGACTGTAACTGGCTCCTAAACTGGCAGAGGGCTGTTTGCTCCCCCAAAACGTGATCCTGGTCTCTCCCTTCCAGCCCTCCTGGCAAGCGCTTTGAGGCTTCCTGTGATCCTTTCTTCTCTCCCCAAAAGGCTTTCAGAGCCCTGACAAGGAAACCCATTCAGTGCCTACGGGCTCAGTCCCGTGTCAGTATGCAAGGACTTAACCCGCTGATTTTAGTAGTCTTCCTGTGTTGCCCATTAATCTGAATCTGCGGGGCTCAAAGAGCTCTTGGCTGTCAGTCGTTAGAGCTTTGTGGGAGGTAGGGGACAAAATCCTAGAACACTCTCATCCTGCCTTTTCCTCGGTGCTTTTCTGTTTTTCATCGGTCTTTCTGCCTCCCTGCAGCATGATTGAAGCCTGCCAGACTGCTCAGGAAGTGGTTCAGCTCTCTCAGGACGCCCAGAAGCTGTTGGACAAAATGGAGCGGTCTCCAAAGCCCATCGTTGCTGCCATCAATGGCACCTGCGTGGGAGGAGGACTGGAGGTACTGGACACTTCTGGGTCTGCCAAGCAGCAGCGGGAACTGGTTACCCTGGCTCCCAAAACTAACCCACAGGATTATTCCAAAGGGGGGTGAGAAGGATCTGACGTGGGGTCTGTGTGTTCGTTCAAACACGTTTGTGGCAGTCTGAATGGTTTGGCTGTGCTTCAGGCTCGGCCATGCTATTTTTTTTCCTGCTGCTGCTGAAAGAGAGCTAATGAAATAGGAATACTTGTGTGCTAGGCTAATATTTAAATGGGGGCACTCCTGGGAAAACAAGCTGTTTCCAGMAGGCGTTGGAGCTGGATGAATGCTGCTGGCAGAATCCGGCCTGGAAATAGCTTCTTTTCATTGGAAATAAGCCCTGCATCCCAGCAACTTCTGTTCTTCTCAAGGTTGAGAAGGGTGAATGCAGGGAGCCTGGTCAGCCTCCAGCCTGGCCTGCATTCCCTCTCCTTTGCCACTTCAGCTGAGTGCAGTATCTGCTTCGTAATCTGTCTTTAGATTATACACTCTTAAGTAGCTAATCTTCTCATCCCTGCCTAGGATATCGATGAGCGAAGGGGAGGCTTTGGGATTATTCCTGCAGCAAAGTTTTTACTGAGTCGGAACAGCTCTGYTCCTGGGAATGGGGTCCCTTCATCCGTGCACTGAATATTGCAGCAATTTCAGCTTTTTCAAGTGCAGTAGTGAGGCTGCTGTGCTTGGGGATGCAGCGACAGACTGAGCAGCGTGGCTGGTCTGTAATTGGGGCTGAGTCCTGCTTGGTGAACAAAATTAGGGCAGGATGGGGAAGGAAGCTTTGGGCGGAGGTGCCTGTGTCTCCTGTGCTCTCAGAGAGAAATCTTCAGTCATTTTCTCTTCCCATTTTAAGGTTGTCCTTGCCTGTCACTACAGAATAGCAACGAAGGACAAGAGAACAGTGTTGGCCTCACCTGAGGTGTTACTGGGCATCCTGCCAGGGGCAGGAGCCACTCAGAGGCTGCCAAAGATGGTAAGTAGGAGGAAAAGTCTTAATGTCCCCCTCTGTTTCATGGCGTGATCCCACAGTAAAAACCCCTTTCTGCCCTTCCAGGTGGGAATTCCTGCTGCCTTTGATATGATGCTGACTGGGAGGAACATCCGTGCCGACAGAGCAAAGAAGATGGGTCTGGTTGACCAGTTGGTGGACCCCCTAGGTCAGACCTGAGGGTGGGAGCGTTGTCTTCCAGCACTTAGGAGCTGGTCTCCTGCCTCTCTGTTAGCTTCTGCCCCTTGCTGAAAGGGGTGCAGGAGGCCCCCATGCAGCCAGCTYGCTAATGCAGGCAGTGTGTGGTCTGGAGAGGCCCTAGGATGCTCTGCGGTGCAATTACCCTTCCTACCTGAGAAGCTTGTGCGTGGAGACCTTGAAATATCCAGCTTGGACTAAGGCTAAGTGAATAGGGAAAGATTAGAATAAAGGTTCCACCCCCTGGCTCTCTTTCCTAAGCTAATTACTCAGATAAGAACCTGCATTCCTCAGGTATCATGTCAGAGGGGCAGATTGCAGCCGCTCGTAAAAGGAGAATAGGTGACCACTGCCTGCAGTGATGCAGCCTGCTGATATTCATCTGGGTGACAAGATCTTGAGGAGAAGCCAAGCCCTGCGGCTTCGGTGCCCTGACTTGTTAACTGGCTTCCAGTGGGATGGAGAAATTCCAAGTTCCAGAGCAGATTGCACTTCCAGCCACCAAGTGGGTGACAAATAACTGCTTGTTCCTGCTGTGCCCGCAGCAGGGCAGCGTTTTGGGCACGTCTCTAACTGGAGGGGCTGCAGAGGCTGAGTTGGACACCAGTGTGGCAGCTGCTTGTGCCACGTAGCCGAGCATGCTGAGCTCAGTTTCCCAGCCCGAGTGGAACCCAGGGGGCCGTTCGTGCCTTAATTTGATGAATAAAAAAGCCAGCTTGTGCTGAGAAAAGCAGGGAAAGGCCCCGTTCTGCCTCGCCACTGGTCTGCCGTGTGAGATGGCTTCAGCTTTCCTCATAAAATGGGTCAGTGATGTCCAGGCTTGGTGTAAAAATCCRCTGAGTGCTCTTTCACACTGCATAGTTGCTTAAGTGTCATATTGTGAATGTGGCCTTTTATGCCAGGGATTACTCTGCCTTGCCTGAGCTTTTGAAGACCTGGTCAGATAAACATTTAGGTGGAATGCAAGACAAAAAGGAATGTGCTTGACGTGGTGGAAGGGAACTGGGAGGCTAGTGAGGATTCAGCTCAGAAACCCCCTCACCCTTGGAGGTGGGAATGCCCTAAAAGCTGGTGATCATTGCTGAAATGTGGAGTAGGCAGCAGCTCCGGGACGAGTCTCCTGAACTGGCTGTAAAAGGAAATGTGCTGTATCATTATTTGGATTGTTTTGCACTGTCCAGGCTCTGTCTTGCTGCCAGGGTGAGGTAGCGTGTGCTAGGGGGGAGCTTGTGTGATCTGGTCAAAATGCACGTGTTCCTGCATCTGCCCCTTGCAAGAAGGCCGTCCAACAGGCAGCAGGATCTGGAGCCTGCAGGACACATGCTCTCAAATCTCTGTGCAAAGAGAAGTGAACCCTGCAAGTTGTGTAGGGTTGGGTGGGTTTTGTTGTTGGGTTTTTATTTATTTATTATTTTTTGACTGCTTCCCAGGGAGCAGTTGTCTGCYGTGGTATCCCTAGCTTGGCGGACCCTGTCCTGCGTGTGCGTGGAGCCGTTTCCAGCAGAGATTAATGGGATTGCCCGGGCTAAGGAAGCAGAGCTCTAATCTCGTCAAGCTCGTGCCGCTGGTTCAGAGGTGGCGCAGCCCAAGGCTGCACTTSTAGCTGCAGTTTCCTTGCCGTGCCCTGCAAAATAGTCCTGGCCCGCTGCTCCTTTCAGTAGTGACCCTRTTTATTTCCCTCCAACAGTTCAACAGGCACAACTGCATTTTCAGCGCTGTGGTCTGCTCCTGTGGTGAATGGCATCAGCTCTGTGCTTGGGAATTGTGCAACCCATCTGCAGAGCTTGCTGAAATGAGCCTTTTTAGTCGGCTTGTTCCCTTGTTTTGGGGACAGCTTGGAGGCAGCGAGGTGGGTTGGGAGCTGCTTAGAGTTTATTATGTTTGGTACTAGCTAAAGCAGGTGAGAGACTTGCTGCCGCTGAGATCAAAGGCTGAGGAGGTTTTACTGTGCGTTGGCTCCAGGGTAAGGGTGCAGTTCTGGATAAATATTGCTTAGATGATGATTAATAGCAACAGTGTCAGTACCACTCAGCTGTGCAGACCTGCTGCACCACGTAAGAAAGCAGAGTTGCAGCGAGGTGGGAAGGCAGAACACTTACATTTGGATAGGMTAGAGGGGTTGCCTGCAGTTATGTCAAATGAAAAGATGAGAGGGAACAGGCACACATTGCAGCAAGAAAACTTTGAATTAAATGCTACCAAAAGATCCTCAGAGTGAGCATGGTCAGGCACTGGATGGGAGTCCAGAGAGGTGGCAGGATCTCCATCCTTGCAAGTGCTCAGAGCGTGGCAGAGCACGTCCCGGAGCAACCTGATCCACCTCCTAAGTTGGATCCAGCTTGGAAGTTGGCCCTGTTTGGGCAGTGGGTTAGACCAGATGGCCTCCAATCTTCCCTTGCAACAAAATTGTTCCCTGTTCCTTGAAAGCAATGTTGAGGTTTGTGACACCCTGCCGTCTGCTCTTGTGGGTCACACGTCAATGTCTGTGACATTATGGCATTTCTGCACAATGTGGTAGATATTAAACGTTTTGGTCATTTCAGGTGCTTTCCTGCCGAGCCTTTCCACCTTGTTCATAACTTCTCTTCTGTTCCCAGGGCCCGGTCTGAAAACTCCAGAAGCACGAACCATGGAGTACTTGGAGGAAGTAGCAGTTGACTTTGCCAGAGGACTCGCCAACAAGACTGTGTCTACCAAAAAACCAAAGGGGTTAATTCAGAGTAAGTCTGTGGGTATCGTAGCMAGCTCCCAAGCAACTGCAGTGACTGTAGTGCAGCTTTCATTCTCAGAGATTTCTCCATGCTCTTTCTTAATTCCAGCTTCAAAGCAAAGTTCTTTCATGTTGTAGTAGTCTCTTGACCCAGCAGGGCTGATAGAGAAAGCATTGCTCTGTAGACCTGATCTTCAGGTGACATTGCCAGAGCCGTGCATGGTGGCTCCTGAAGCCTCTTAGGAGGGAGCCAGGCCTGGGGGAGCAAACAGCACCTGCCCTGCCCCAGAGAAGTGTCCATCTTGCAAGCTTCAGTAGCAAGTTTTGCACCAAGCTTGTGCAATCCAAGCAGAAACCTGCTCTGCAATGATCCTCCTTAGCAGGGTGGTTACGCAGTTGACAGGGTGCAGAAATTATGACATCCATGTCTGGAAGTTCTGCTCCTCAGGTCAGTTTGGCAATTTGTCCCTCCCTGCATTACGAGGATAGCTGAGCTCTGAAAGGAACATGTCCTTGGAACAAGCCATAGAAATTCCTCTGCCCAGACCAATGCCAGCTCTGTCTAACKGGGTTTCAGCTGGACATTTCCATTCCAGATGTGCAATGTTCACACCTATAGTCTCCGGCGTTCAGGTTTATCATAACAAAGGCTGGGTGCGTCTTTAGGACCGCGCTGAGATGCATTTTGTCCCATCTTGCAGAGATAACAGATTATGCCATGGCTATTCCGCTCGTGAGGAAACAGATCTACAGGACGGTGGAGAGCAAAGTTCAGAAGCAGACCAAAGGACTCTACCCTGCTCCTCTAAAAATCATTGAGGTAAGCTCTGCTGAGATGTAGGAAACTGCAGCAAAGGGGAGCTGCAGGCTAACTGCAGCCAAGAGGTAGAAGGTGGCTGCTTCATCTGGGTCAAATCACACGTTACTTTACAGAAAATCAGTCTTGATGAGTGCTGGTATGGAGCAAACATGCAAATTCAGAGTAGCTTCCCAGAATATCATGTGCTACTGGCGCAATAAGGGAAGGATCAGTGATCCTGAATGYGGGAAGGCTTAGCTGGGATACTTGCTGTGCTGCTTTCAGCTACAGTTTCTTCAGTTGCTAAACTGTTAAACCAGTACTTAAGCTGCTTAACTGAAGTTAACCTCTTTGAAGCAAGGGAAGTTGTTATTTYCATGAAGCACCCAAAACTGTAGAATGTAGTCCCCTCATTAACACAGGCATTGCACCGAAAATGTTGCCCAATGGCTGAATTATTTTAAAATGACTTCTCACAATATAAAYTGTTGCTAAGGCGTCTCTAAAACCAGTGAACATCCCCTTCTGAAGCACAGTCCTGCTGAAACAATTCCTGCAAGTGCAAGGGATGGGTCAAGCTTGACCTGAGCAAGTGCTTTGCTATTGCAGCTCCTCTCTACTAGAAGGTCGAGATGGTTTCTGGCTGCTTTGGCCAGCTTTGGCAGGGCCCCGAGAGCCTCAGCTCTCCCTTGAATGTTAGGCAGGGGCTGGTGGAGGCTCAGCTAAACAAGACATTAAAATGCAGCTGTTAACAGGCATGCCTTAAGTGTGGCTTATCTTTACTGCTCTTCCTTGGTTAGGTTGTAAAGACTGGGCTTGATCAGGGGAACGACGCCGGATACTTCGCTGAATCCCAGGTAAGGMGATCAGCTCTCGAGTAGTAATCGGGAGGTTATCAGATGTGGAAGACTTGTGTTCTGCCTTGCACAAGGGAAATCCACTGTTCATGGGTTACTCAAAATGGTGCCTTGATTCCTGCCCCTTCTTCTGGGAGTGGGACTGGGAAAATGTCCTCTCTTAAACAACGGAACTGTAGTTTTGGGTTGTTTCTTTTGGAAGGGTTGGGTGGGCGTGTTTTTGTTTTGTTTTTCCAAGCTTCTTCATCTGTGAAAAGAGTTTCTGGCTTTCTTTATTTCTCTCTGTTTTATCTTTTCTTCAGTTGGGAAGTTCACCATTCCACATGTTCAATAGTAGAATTTTCTATTAGTTGTTGGGTTTTTGTTTGTTTAATTGTTTTTTGATGGGACAGGTGCTCTGTAGGTGGGTATAGTGCTATCTTAGTCTCATACCTATTCCTCAGTAACGTCGTAAAATAAGTCATTTCTCATTCTTACAAGTTTCCAGAACTTCTTAGCTGTCATTTCTCCCAGTGTCCAGTGTCCTGTCACCTTTTCTCCATCACCTCTGCTTAGAGTGTTGATCCTCTGTCACTCTTGCTTTGCTGTTCATCATGTTTCCCCGTCCACATACTTAGTGCTAGCCCATTTCCAGCCGTGGGTAGCTGCACTTTGAACAGATGGTCTTAATCTCTCACTTCTCTCTGCTCTTTCGCTCTGTGGATCACACCTGTGTACCCACTGCTATTTACCAGTACGGCCTGAGGGTTGACCTGCTGGAAAGCAGCTCTGCAGAGAGGCACCAGGGTGGGCTGGGGCATTTTAAGGCGCCGAGTCCCCTGGGACTGGTTGCTGCTTGTTCCTGTTCGTAGGTGCAGCCAGTGGTGAGAATGAGCAGGTACTGAGGTGCTGCAGAGACTCAGATCCGTGCGGATCGGCACGCAGAGCAGCACCTCTGCTAGCAGCCGAGGAAGTGGAGCTTTGGTGGAACTTCTTGGACGTGGAGCTTCTAGAGAGGGGCCAGCGCAGAGCGACAGAGATGATTAAGGGACTGGAGCATCTATCGTTTAAGGAAAGACTAAGTGAGCTGGGCCTGTTTAGCCTGGAGAAGAGAAGGTAGAGAGGGGGTTTTGTCAATGTGTCCAAGTACCTGAGGGGAGAATGCAGGGAGGATGGGGCCAAACTCTCCTCCGTGGTGGCCAGTGCCAGGACAAGGGGCAATGGGGACRAGTTGAAGCCCAGGCAGCTCCATGTGCCCGTGAGGAAGAACTTAGGGATGATCCCCAGGGGTCCCTTCCAACCTCAACCATCCTGGGATTCTGTGAAAACACAAACAACAGTCACCGAGAGCAGGGACAACCAGGGCTGCTGTCCCATCTGGCTGATCACAATTAAGATTTGCTAGAGGTTGCACACGTGTGTACTTGCACACACACGTCCCTCTTGGAGGTGCTTGGTGTACCAAGCAGCATCTCTCCAGCTTGCTCATGCCTGCTCCTTTTGTTCCCCGTTTCTCTCCACTTTCTTGTGTTTGTTCTTTTCCTCCTAACCATTTGATCCCTCCCCTTCTCTGCCATTACCTCCTCCCTAATTAACATGTTGCTGATTACTTTTATTGGCCCCAGTTTTGCTGCATCTGTACCCAAATTGGGAARTTTCTTGTTGATAGGTAGTCTTGGCCTTACACTGCTCCCCTTGCCAGTGATTGCTCTTTCCCAGAGAGCGGTGGGACCGCCCTACGAGTGGAAACAAGCTGGGATGGGGTTGGAAGGACTTGGTTGTAGAAGCATCATGGCTATTCCCTGCCACACTCCTTCCAGGCAGGCCCTGAGGGTTAGAGGCACTTACTCTTTTCCAGTAATTCTTTTTGAATTACATCCTAGATGGAAAAGGGCTTTGGAGGAGCAGTTTCCTACTGCCTTCTCGCAGCCTATATGGGAGAGGGCTGTGTTTAGCCCTGGAGGTAACTCTGTTCTCACGTGGCCCTGTCTGCTCTTCCATTTCTCTTCAGGTTACTGCTCTGTGCAATGGCATGGTGCTCGTGCTGCCACTTTGCAGTGTATTTGTCGTGTGCTGGTTGAAAGTGTGACGGCTGGTAAAGGGCAAACTGTCTGCTTCCCTCTCTCCTTTCTTCCAGAATTTTGGCCAGCTAGCAATGACTAAAGAATGCAAGGCGCTGCTTGGGCTTTACCGCGGGCAGGTGCAGTGCAAGAAGAACAAGTTTGGGGCACCGGTGCARGAGGTCAAGTAAGTGCAAGTATGAGATGCCTAAAGGAGCATTTGGAGACCCTCTGCTGAAAGGCTGGTGGGGCCAACCAGCCTAGAGTCCTGCAAAGCAGAGAGTTTCCCTTTCAGAAGGCCAGTTTTCTGCAGTTCAGACGTGTCCCTCACAAGCGAGACCTTCTGGTGTGACCTCACTAGAAGTGAGGATGGACAGGATCTGAATGGGTCTGACCGGCAGCAGAAATCCAGCTATTTCTGACTTTGTGTCTCCCCATTCTGTGTAGGACCCTGGCTGTGCTGGGAGCAGGGCTCATGGGAGCTGGAATTGCACAAGTTTCGGTGGATAAAGGACTGAAGACCATTATGAAGGACGCAACACAGCAAGGCTTAGACAGAGGACAGCAGCAGATCTTCAAGGGGTATGTGAGCTTAAAGGAGTTCCCTTGGGTTTGCSTGATGCCTCCTTTAGTCAAAATGCTCCTCCACTTTCAGGCCAGGCCATCAAGAGCTCCCGACACATCTGTTCCTTTGGGGYTTTCTTTCAGTCGATACCACAGCAACGTTTTTTAAAGGTTGCCCTCTGCAGCAAGCTGGGACACTGCTGCAAAATAAGTGCAGGGTACTCAGCCTTCTCCTTAGCAGGTAGACCACTGCTATGTGACTGTTTTTAGATCAGGCAGTAGCTTATAAAAGTAAGGGGAGGGCTCGCGTTGGAATTCATTGAATCAGAGCTCTCAGAAGATGAATTTCTTTCCTCCATGCTTCTTGCTCAACAGAGAGTGTAGTGCTCAGCTGCACAACACTAAGGATTGTAAATGAGCAGCCTTCAGACTAAAGCACCAAGAGTTGTGTGAGCAGGGCCCTACTTATTCTGCATGGCAAGAGTAGGGGGCCAGTAGGTCCCCCTTGGCTTGCTGGCTGGRAGATGATGTTTTGAGTCCCAGCATCAGGAGGGTGGGCGGGCTTGGTGCCTCTGTGAACCTGGAGCTCTGATGGAGCCGTCCTTCCCCAGGCTSAACAGCAAGGTGAAGAAGAAGAGTTTGACAGCGTTCGAGAGGGACTCGTTTCTCAGCAAACTGACAAGCCAGCTGGACTACAAAGGCTTTGAGAAAGCAGACATGGTGATTGAGGCTGTGTTCGAGGACATCAACGTCAAGCACAAAGTGCTGAAGGAAGTGGAGGCTGTGAGTGTCAGTTCCGAGCAGCTTGTGCTCCATGGGCCCCTGTGCGACGGAGGCTTGGAGAGTCTTGTCCTGTGGTCCTGCTGGGATTTTCCCATCTCTCCTGTGCTGCAGTCCAGTGCTTAGTACTAGTTACCCACTTCAGGATATGGGTGGGTGCCAAGGGCAGTTGTCCTATCCAGTTCTGACATACCCTGTCAGAGAGAGAGGGTTTGTCTCTCCTCTTACATACAGGGCGTGTGTCCTCTCGTTAGCCTGGAGAAGAGGCTATCTCCCACAAGAGGCTATCTCCCACAAGAGAGGCTATCTCCCACAAGCCAGATCTAAGTGACCTGGGCTGCTGCCTCAGGACGAGTTTCTCATGCTGATCCAGATCAGATCCA